TAAAATAAAATAAAATAAAATAAAATAAAATAAAATACAAAAAAATAAAAATAAAATAAAATGAAATAAAATATAAAATAAAATGAAATGAAATAAAATAAAATAAAATAAAATATAAAATAAAATAATATAAAAAATAAAATAAAATAAAATAAAATGAAATAAAATAAAATATAAAAATAAAATAAAATAAAATAAAATATACAATAAAAAATAAAATAAAATAAAATATACAATAAAAAATAAAATAAAATAATATAAAATAAAATAATATAAAAAATAAAATAAAATAAAAATAAAATAAAATAAAATAAAAAATATAAAATAATATAAAAATATAAAATATAAATAATATAATATAATATAATATAATATAATATAATAAAATATAATGTAATATAATATAATGTAATGTAATATAATATAATAAAATAAAATGTAATATAATATAATGTAATATAATGTAATATAACATAATATAATATAATGTAATGTAATATAATATGATATAATATAATATAATATAATATAATATATAAAATATAAAACAAAATAAAATCATAAAAATAATTTTAAAAAGAGGTTTTCTCTCCAAAAAAGATGATTTTTACCTCCCAAAATAAATTTTTATGTCCCAAAAAAAAGAGGATTTTTTTTAATCTCTGAAAAGAAAATTTTTATGTCCCAAAAATAAGACTTTCTATCTCTGAAAAGAAGCTTTTCTTTCTCCAAAAAATAAACTTTTTATCTCAACAAATATTGGTTAATATTGGAATATTTTGGTTGATATTGGGAGATTTTGGTTAACATTGGGATATATTGGTTAACATTGGGACATTTAGGTTCATATTAGGATATTTTGATTAATATTAGGGTATTTTGGTTAACATTGGAATATTTTGAATAACATTGGAATATTTTGGATATTAGAATATTTTGGTTAGTATTGGAATATTTAGGTTAACATTGGAATATTTTGGTTAACATTGGGATATTTTGGATATTAGAATATTTTGGTTAGTATTGGAATATTTAGGTTAACATTGGAATATTTTGAATAACATTGGGATATTTTTGGACATTAGAATATTTTGGTTAACATTGAAATATTTTGGTTAACATTGGAATATTTTGAATAACATTGGGGTATTTTGGATATTAGAATATTTTGGTTAACATTTGAATATTTTGGTTAACATTGGGACATTCTGGATAATATTGGAGTATTTTGGATAACATTAGAATATTTCGGTTAGTATTGGAATATTTCGGTCAATATTGGATTTTTTTTTAATTAACATTGGGACATTTTGGTTCACATTGGGATATATTGGTTAGTATGAGGATATTTTGGTCAACACTGGAATATTTAGATTAATATTGGGATATTTAGATTAATATTGGGACATTTTGGTTAACATTGGAATATTTAGATTAATATTGGGATATTTTGGTTAATATTGGAATATTTTGGCCAACACTGGCACACTGGGACATTTTAATCCAACCAAACCCATCCCTAAAACACAGATAAAATGCATTTCAATGAATAAATCAATAAATAATTTCAATAAAGAATTAAATAAATAACTAAATAAATAATAATTTCAATAAATAATCAATTCCTGTTTTCCCCAGGCCTGGCACCTACGACATCCACGATCCTCAAACCAAAAAAGTTTCGTGGCCCTCCCAGTTTGGGGCTCCCAACTGGGCAGCGCTGCCCCAGCTGGTGCAGAGGATGATGAAGATGCAGGTGCAGAAGGTGAGGAAGGCTCAGACACAGGAAATTCCATTTTTTTCTCCATATTTTCACTGGTTTGTTTTCATTTCCTGCTTCTGAGACAGGAAATTCCCATTTTTCTCCATATTTTCATTTCCTGCTTCTGAGACAGGAAATTTAATTTTTCTCCATATTTTCACTGGTTTGTTTTCATTTCCTGCTTCTGAGACAGGAAATTTCCTTTATTTCCAAATTTTTGCTGTTTTTTGTTTTAATTTTCTGCTTCTGAGAAAGGAAATTTCCTTTTTTCTCCAAATTTTCATTTCCTGCTCCTGAGACAGGAAATTTCCTTTTTTCTCCATATTTTCATTGGTTTGTTTTCATTTCCTGCATCTGATACAGGAAATTTTCTTTTTTCTCCATATTTTCATTTCCTGCTTCTGAGACAAGAAATTTCCTTTTTTCTCCATATTTTCGCTGGTTTTTGTTTTCATTTCCTGCTTCTGAGACAGGAAATTTCCTTTATTTCCAAATTTTTGCTGTTTTTTGTTTTAATTTTCTACTTCTGAGAAAGGAAATTTCCTTTTTTCTCCATATTTTCACTGGTTTGTTTTCATTTCCTGCTTTGAGACAGGAAATTTCCCTTTTTCTCCATATTTTCATTGGTTTGTTTTCATTTCCTGCTTCTGAGACAGGAAATTTCCTTTATTTCCAAATTTTTGCTGTTTTTTGTTTTCATTTCCTGCTTCTGAGAAAGGAAATTTCCTTTTTTCTCCATATTTTTGCTGTTTTGTTTTCATTTCCTGCATCGGATACAGGAAATCCTCTTTTTTCTCCATATTTTCATTTCCTGCTCCTGAGACAAGAAATTCCCTTTTATCTCCATATTTTCACTGGTTTGTTTTCATTTCCTGCTTCTGGGACAGGAAATTTAATTTTTCTCCATATTTTCGCTGTTTTTTGTTTTCATTTCCTGCTTCTGAGACAGGAAATTCCCTTTTTTCTCCATATTTTCATTTCCTGCTCCTGAGACAGGAAATTNGTGGAATTTCGTGAGGGAGTGAGGTGGAATTTTGGGTGTGAATGAGGTGGAATTTCGGGAGGGAATGAGGTGGAATTTCGTGAGGGAGTGAGGTGAAATTTTGGGAGGGAATGAGGTGCAATTTCGTGAGGGAATGAGGTGAAATTTTGAGTGGAAATGAGGTGAAATTTTGGAAGGGAATGAGGTGGAATTTCGTGAGGGAATGAGGTGAAATTTTGGGTGGGAATGAGGGGGAATTTCGGGTGGAAATGAGGTGGAATTTAGGTGGGAATGAGGTGGAATTTTAGGTGGGAATTAGGTGAAATTTTGGGTAGGAATGAGGTGAAATTTCGGGTGGGAATGAGGTGAAATTTTGGGTGGCAATGAGGGGGAATTTCGGGTGGGAATGAGGTGGAATTTTGGGTGGGAATAAGGTGGAATTTTGTGAGGGAATGAGGTGCAATTTTGGGGGTGAATGTGGAATTTTGGGAGGGAACGAGGGGGAATTTCGTGTGGGAATGAGGTGGAATTTCGTGAGGGAATGAGGTGGAATTTTGGGAGGGAACGAGGTGGAATTTCGTGAGGGAATGAGGTGGAATTTTGGGTGGGAATGAGGTGAAATTTTGGGTGGGAATGAGGTGAAATTTTGGAAGGGAATGAGATGGAATTTCGGAAGGGAATGAGGTGCAATTTCGTGAGGGGAGTGAGGTGAAATTTCGTGAGGGAGTGAGGTGGAATTTCGGGGGTGAATTCTTCATGAACTCCCCTGGTTTTGGGCCGCTTTTTCCCT